TTTTCTACAGTAAGAGTCTTAAGCAAGTTTAAAAATGGAAAGGCTCTTGAACAATACACATCTCTTTGTAAGAAAAGCAGGGAAAGATCCTGGGAAAGATGTAGCAACCATTGAAGAGAGAGGAAAACTTTATACAGTATACTAGCAATTCTTTTCAGGCCGATGCAGAAGGCATCTCACAACATATAAGCCTCAATTGATCCCTGAATTAAGGAGCTTACACGGGGTCTTGAATGGGCCCTCCATGATTAGCTGAAATCTATAACCAAGTGATATCTTCTTCACTGGCAACCTGAAAGCCATCTGACACTTCATATTAAAAGATTCCAAATCCATATTCCACAGTTGTAGTGTTTATATTGCTTCCTTATAACTCAGAACATAAACCTTTTCTGAGTATATTTACAGACAAGAACACACAAGTTGCCAGCATGTGTAAACTGACCTAGTTTCACTGAAGACTATAGAACTCAGCTGATTAACAGCAGGCGAGAAAGTGGGCCAGAGTAGTGCCTCTCCCAGGTTGGGGAGGGGGGGAAGAGACCAAAAGGAAAGAGGATTAACCGCAGCACCCCCCCCCCCAAAGAAACCGGCAAACTCTTTCTCTGAGGGAGGACCCGAAGGATTAAAAGGCAGCGACTTCGGAGGCGATTTTGTCCCCTGAGTTATGGATGTTGGTGCACTTACTTCAGGCCAGATCAGAGCGGAGAGGGGGCTGAGCAGGAGCGGGCAGCACCAGCTCTCCGCGTGCCCCTTCCCCGGCTTTCCCCTTCCAGCATGTTTCTGTTGACGAGCCTCTCTCCAGCGCCCAGAGGTCCAGTACAATGTGCAAATGGATGCTGACAAATGGTGCCTCCGCCTGTTCCCACCTGCCTCGCCGTTGCCGCCGCCGCTGCTGCCTCCTGCTGCTGCTCCTCGTGTCTTCCGTGGCTGTCACCTGCCATGACCTCGGCCAGGACATGCGGTACCCGGAGGCCACCAACTCTTCTTCCTCCTCCTCCTCCTCCTCCTTGTCCTCGTCCTCGTCCTCGTCCTCGTCCTTCTCCTCGCCTCCCAGTGCGGGGAGACACGTGCGGAGCTACAACCACCTCCAGGGAGACGTGCGCTGGAGGAAGCTCTACTCCTACAACAAATACTTTCTCAAGATCGAGAAGAACGGCAAGGTCAGCGGGACCAAGAAGGAGAACTGCCCCTACAGTAAGTGCCCACCCCTCCCTGCCCCTGCCCCTGCCCCTGCCCCCGGGGCTCTGCCCCCTCCCCACCGAGCCCGGGGACCCGGTCCCCCCCGGCTCCTCGCCTTCTCCAAGCCACTTGCTCGGGAAGGTGACACCTCCGCAGAGAGGAGAGGTGGTACCAGGCTGCTTTGGCTCTGCCCTGGGCATCCTCTGCCTGCCTATCTCCTGATCTCCCTCTCCCTCCGCAAATTTGGTTTGCAAATGGGTTGAGCGATCACAGTTTGTTTCCTTGGCTGGCAGGGGGGCGAGCAAATTAGAAAGGTTTGTAAAGGGAGGTGGGGGGAGGAATGGACCTTGTCTCCTGAGTCGGGAAAGAAGGCTCCGCTGCCACTAAAATAGTGGGGGGCTGTGTTTGAAAACAATACCTTGATTTCCCACCTCCCTCTCAGCTCCCCGAGATCCAGCCCTCCCCTCCCCTTCTTGGCCTGTCCACACGCACACGCTGAAAAGGGTTTCTCTGGTTTTGATTTCTGTCCCCGCATGTTGTTGGCTTGGAGCGATCGCGCCCATGAAGTTAACTTTCCGAGGCACCACCGCTGCTATGTGTCTTTGCCTTGCCTCCTCGCTGGTAACATGATGCTCATGTCTGCCTTGTCAATAGCATATGTGCCGCTTCGTGGTGTCCCCTTGTACTCGCTTTCTTGGGCGAGCTCTCGGATTGCAGCGCTGCTGCACTGCTATTGCGTCGTAAACATCTGGGGCTGAATTCACACAGACCTCACAGACATTTCATTGTCATTTTTTCCTCCAAAGAAATAATTTCAAAGTAAAAGTCAGAAGGCTATTTCTGTAGCCGGAGTTTAGAGTGAACCCATAGAGTGAACTTTTTCTCTAGTCCTAATTAGGCTTCTAGTAATAGTGTGCCTCTGCCTCGGGTAATATAGTTTTTGGTAGTCAAGCTTGAGAAATGCAACCTCTATTCACTTTCTTGCCTGCACAGTCTCAAGTTAGGGGAACTGTAGTAAGTCACAATATATTGCATTGTAACTTTAAATGACTACATCCTTGTGTAATAGCATGTTGCAGGGGGAGGAACCCTACCATACAAACATTTGAGTAAAGCTCCTTTAATTGATTTTACTGGTAAAGAGCAACTAGTTGGTTTCAGGTCGGTTGCTTGTAAATCCAAATATACATAGGGGGAACACCCTCTACTAAACTAAAACAACTGGATAGCTTATAGGGGACTGCTTGAACTAGTAAGTATAGAGTGTGATTTGGCAGGATGTAGTGTGGCATGTTAAAGTAAGATTAGTTAGTTCTCCTGTATTGCATTATTTGTTAAATGGTCATAGTATGTATATTTTTCTTGAATTCCTCTGTTATGGCTCTTACTGGCTCCACTTAGCACCTTATGTTCATGATCTTTGAATGATCACAGTTGGCAGTGTTCAGCCTATGTTTGTAAATGCTGTAGGTGTCAAAGCAGAATGTATTTACCATGTAATACTGTCATGTTTCATAGAGAATATTTTTATGAGATACCATCATACACGGAAGTCTTCTTTTTGAAGAAGTCTGGCTGTTGATATTATTAATCTGACCTTATTTTTTAATAGACCAGACTATTATGTTTCCCAGGAATGTGGTTCTGAATATCTGTGTGCACCTCATATGAACAATAAAATGGGGTTTGTGTTAATGTACTGGGGCAGAAAGGGAATGATAAGAATTTGGGGCCTGATCCTGTAAACATTTAGGGCCATTTAGGTAAAAAGGTGGTTTTACTCCTACAGACATCCTAGTTATCCAGTGTGACTGTTCTTATGAGTAAAGTTACTCAGCTGCATAAATATCTGCAGTAGCATTCCTAACTGAGAAGAGGGCACACGCTGAAATATATACATGTGTTCAGTATCTAACCTCCCCACCCCAGTGCTTGCTCAGGGACAGCTCTTCTTTGCAGCCTACAGGTTCTGGTGTTGTGTGTGTTTCTCCTTGTTTTACACTCAGCGCACGAGCGTATTAAAGGATTATTCATATTCAAACTTAACGTCACAGCTGTTTTCAGATTTGATGAATGTTAATGTTTAAACAGCAAATATAAATACAAGGTAAGTGGGTAAACTTTGGCATATTAATTCAAGTCAGATTAAAATCAGATCTAGAAATACTCTGTCAGCAAGGTTTGTGTAAGGTAAAGGAAAGCAAAATCTCCTAAAAATAGCAGCTTCTTTAACTCACTAAGACGGTATCTGAAGTACAGTATAGATTATTTTTTTAAAAGCAAAACTCCTTAAATATATAGCCTTTGATGAAAAGGGGAAACTGTTTTACACTTTTGTTTAGTATTGCTCATTTCTTAATGATGCAAATTTTAAATGGCTTCATGAAAGCCCATCTTGTATTAAATGATTTCAACCTACCATGTTTTGTATTTCAAAGCATCTCTGGCAACACATTAAGTGAAAAGCATAGGTCCTGTTTCACATGTGGCTAAGTAATCAGGACACTGCCATGATCCCCAGCTGGACTGATTCAGTGTAAGCATGTAGTATCATTAAGATATTGTCTAAATATATAATTACATGTGAATAAATTCATGCTGTGCCTAAAGGGATAGCCAGCCAGCCAGCCCACTGAATTGTAGCCTGTTAAATATTAAGGTATTTAACCTCTGAAATCAGTTCCTCATCCAAAACCACATTTTCCTAAACAAATAATAATTACTATTGACACACAACGCTTTGTTCTTTTAAATATTTTAATTTGGGGATTAATTTTCTTAGATTACAAAACTATTTAAAATCCATTTATGCTGCAGTAAAAATCTTATCTCTGGGGCTGCAAGATCATGATATGCAGTGTAATTAGACAACAGCTTTCGTGGCTGACTGCCAGTTAAATGCTGTCAAGTAAGAGGAACAGTCGGAAAAAGTCAGAATAAACATCCAGAAAGCATAGTTCAGTTCTCAGTCCTTAAAATGTCTCAGGCAGTGTTCATAGCTTTGCTCTATAAATATTGTATAGTACGCACTAAATAAAGGTTTACTTTGGCAGATGTTTTCCAACTTGATTACACAGACCTATTACCTCAGCCTTTAGATACCTATGAGATGTTGGGAACTGAGGTGAATTATGACTGTTCTGTCAGAAGCCTGGGGGAAGCTGTATAATTTAGCATAGCTGGAGTATATCTGTCAGTAGATATATGTAGGATAGCTTAGGTTTTGTTTCATTATTCTTTACATCTAGAGTTTTGCCCATGAAACTCTACCACTCAGCACTAGTGCTTACCTCAGTGTTACAGCTGCAAAGTTCCTTTGCTACAGTTTCTGGTAAGTGCATGTCTAGAAGTGAATAAAACAGCTGTAACGCTCTCCAGTGACTATCAGCATGTGAGAAACAAAAAACCAAGAGTAATTACAAAAGTGTCAACTATAATTTGACATCTGAGATGACTTAGAAGATTTTGAGCTTTCAGCATCTGTGAAGATAGAGAAATTGCTGTATGGAGAAGTACAACCAAATTCTGACCTTAGTTGCACCCGTGAAATCCTTTAAAAACTGGGGATTGAATAAGTTTAATAAACAATAGACTTGGGCCCATCTGTGATGACATGGCTGGAAAAATCTTGTCTTAATTTTTTAGAATGGCACACAGTCAAAAACAGGTTGTATATAAGGGCACCTTTCTGCAAGTTTGTACCGTGCAAGTTGTGCATGTTAACAGGGCTCTTAATAACATAGGAATAACAATATAATATGAACTGTAAAATTATCAGGCTCCAGATTGCAGTCTTTGGTGAAAATTTGCTTGAGTGAGGATTGCAGGATTAGACCCATTACTTATAGATCTATTTATTGAACCCAAGATGCCTGATACAAACTTCATTAAATTATTAGAAAGAATCAATGGATTGGTGTTCAAGTTCTGTTTGCCTAGTGCTGTACAAAAGATGCAGTACCTGTTGGCATACTCACTATCCCAAGGATCTTACACTCAGATTAGCTGGGCAGTGCAGTGATAGATTCTCAGGAATCCAGCATTCAGAGAAGTCCATTGCATTGTATTAGTTTGTACAGTGGCTGAAAATCTACTAATACATTTTTGAGAGAATCTAAAGTGACACCACAGAAAGGCACTTGGGTACAGAATAAAAATGGCCACAAGGGGAGCTAACTCTACACTAGCTGTTCCAGACTTTTTTCTCTGGTTCAGACAAACCTTTCAGATACACATCTATTAGTCTTATTGAAGTTAATACTAGGTTTTCTATTAGCTTTAAGGAATTTTGGATCATATAGTAGAAGAAGGCTTAAAACTCAGAATTACTTCATTCTAAATACCATAAATACCTGTTCAGATGCTCTGAGGGGCATTAACAACTACTAGGAGAGTATGTGTGTATATGCATGAGCATGTATTAATTACTTTTCAGGCTACGTTGTACTATAGCTTTCTGATTCTACAGCCTTTGCACATAAATGTGTATGGGTCCCACATGCCCCCCACATTTATATCAATAATGTTTGTTAACACCTGTGCACCTTAGATCAAAGGTAATGACTAAGATATTTCTGCTCTCTAATAATTTACAGCTAACAAGCCAAAGTTTAATTTCTCTCGGGTGTAATGAAATCATTTCACTGAATAATACATAACAACCAGATGGCAGCAATAAAGAAGAATAGAATATTGGGCAAATATGCTGCCTTAATATTGGTTACTATTGAAACAGTGTATGTGATATCACATCAACTGTTTCATAATTGGTTTTAAATAACATGGGGCTTTTCTTCTTTATAAATGAAAGAGTACATTTCCCAACCTCACATTACTTTTTTTACTTTTTACAAAGGGTTGCCACATGGTGACAGTTGTAAAAAGACATAAGAGAAACAGGAAATCACAACCTGCCTCCTAATAAATATTTCCTGTAATTTTGGGGTAGGAGGGGTAGAAAATCTATACCTTTTTATTACCACTACTTGAATTGCTTTCTCATTTAAGGTTTTATT